TTTTCAGATTATTTGTGTAAAATTGTTATTTTCCAAATCGAAAAAACTTTTTTCAAAAAAGAAAATTACAGTGAAAAAAATTTTTATTTCTTCAATTAAGAAATAAAATTTCCAAAAAATTAATTTCTTGTCACAAGAATTGCCATATTTTTCAAAAGAAATTTTTTCTCTCAGTGTTCAAATTGAAACTTATGTACACAAATTTTTTATTAAAAATCCAGATGGTTGAAGTTATAATCAATAGTCGAAATTCGAAAAAATGGGACATGGAATTTATTCAAAATACTTATAAATGTTCATAATTAATTTAGAAACGAATTAAATTTTGAAATTAACAAATTTCCATTTTTGCGCGACAGTAAAACACACTTAGCGCTTCATGCTGAAGACTTGCAAAAAATTTTTTTATTATTCATTCTCAAATTTGTTTAAATTTCCATCAAATTGCAAGAATTGCAGAAAGAAATTTATTCTTGTAAAATTTAAAAAAATACTCACTTGTATATCTGGAAAATTAGCAAGCATAAAAATAACAAATGAAGTTACAGTTGAAGTTGTATCATTTGCAGCAACCATCATCGAATCAACTTCTTCGTAGAGTTCTTTCTCTGACAATGTTCCTTTGTCCGACAATTCAATTAGTAACTCCAAAAAAGCCTTTCTTTTAGGTGTAGCTGTTTCCAAAACACCATTTTTACCGTTAATTTTTTTATAATCCAGCCGACGTTTCTGTTCTACATTATCGTGCGTTCGCTTATGCAAATATTTGATGCACTCTTTTTGCTCTCGGGCTGATTTTGTAAAATTGTAAATAAAATCAGTATGCATCGGTATCGTCATAATTCGCTCGTAAATTAGTCTCATCATTCTAGATACAAAATATATATTGTTTTTCATTAATCATTATCTTTTTATTCATGTAAATTAATTTATTAAACTACATATTTACCTTGGAAAAGCTTCAACATAAACTGATTTTCCATTTATTTGTTCATTCGAAGGAACCCCAATCAACGTTTCTAAATTATAAATATTTAAAAAAAATTATTTTCCGATACTTTATATTATTTTTAATAAAATAATTACCACAAACAATATCAAGAACACAGTGTGAAATATAATCCACGATATCAAATTCATTTTTGTTGATTTCAGATTCCATTATTCGGACCAAAATTTCAGATTTTTTATTTATAGTGTCAAAAAATGATACAAGAATTTCTGAATGGAATGCTGGCATTATTAATTTACGATGTATTTTCCATTTATTTGCTTGAAAAAAAATTATTTTACCTATTATTGTCATGTTTTAATTCTCTAATGATTAAAAATTGCACAAGGTAACTTTTAAAACTTACCAGGCGCGGTAAATAATCCCGTACCAAGCCAAGGATCAAAAAATTTTACGAATCTTTCTTTTTGAACTGATTTTGAACTATGCAAAACTATCTAAAATCCAGACAATTATTATTATTATAGTTTAAAATTCTCTTAAAATAAATACAATAAGAGGAAATTATAAATTATAAATATTCTTAACAATTAAATGTAAAAAATTATATTTGTTTTTCTTTCTCAAGACTTAGTATTCGATATTTGATACAGTATTACTGACTAGTAGCACATTGTTCGACAGAACAGTTTTTTAAAAATAATTGATAAAATTTCGAAAAAAATTAAGCAAACAAAACTCAGTTCTTTAATTAAATTACTAATGCTTTTTATTTTTTAATTTTACTAAAAAAGATTATTTGTATTTGTTTTATCATTTTTAAATTGGAGAACTAAGAAATCTGTTAAAAAAAATTTATGAAAAATTTTTAAGGCAAATTTTTTTGGATCTTATTTGTTTAACTTCAAAAGAATATAAATTTAAACACAGTGAAAAATTTTTTTTGTCATTGTGTAAAGTGTAAAATATTTTATGTAGAATGGTTAACATTTAAGAGTCTTAATTCAACACTTAATTTGTGTAAAAAAAAATTATCAATACTAATTCAGCCGCCCAATTGTAAAAACACAGTAACTGCAAAATTATTATACCTGATTTTTTTTCAGTGTTGCTGCATTTCTTATAACTTTTAGATCTTAATTTTAAGTAATTTTTCTAAAAAATATTTGTATTAAAGTATTTTTTATTTATAAATCAAATTTTTTATCAATCAGAGCAAACTTTTTTTTTAATAAGAAAAATTTTAAAAAATCTTAAAATTGTCAATTACTGTGTTTTGAAATTGAGCAGCCGAATTTTTGATTTTAATTTGACAAAAATTTTTTTATAAAAATTAAATTAAAAGCTTACCTTTATTTGATCAGGATCGAATAAATAAATAAACAATTCCTGACCAAACCAGATTCTTACGAGCGAAGATTTATAATTACTCAACAATGACATCATTTTATTGAGATTATTATCACTGTTATCCATAAAAAGTAGAATATTTCCAATAATCGGTAACACTGGTCTAGGCCCCGGTATTTTATTACCGGCTTTGTATAAATCCCATCTCTTGTAATGATATATTATTAATTTAACAAGAGCAATCATAAACACTATTAAAATTATTAAGACCGACAAGTCCATGTTATTTCCATGTAATTTTTTTCAACTTTTTTCATTCAATCCAAGCTATATACTGAATATTTTATTCAGTCTTATGAATTTTATCAACATCCATTTTGATCTCAATTTAAAAAATAAATATTCACCCAGCAGTATAAGAAAATTTTAATTTTATTAAATTTCGCAAGTCCACTGACCTGATTAATTAAAAAATTGACTGATTTAAACAAATCTGTTATCGAAAATTAAAAATTGTGAAATACTTTATAAAGTATATTTTTAAATGGAAAATATATATTACCATCAGTATGTTGAGAAAATAAAATAAATAAAGTTGCCGGTGCCCCTATAATATGCATAAGTTTGACATTTACAACCTTATAGTTATTATATTGTTTTTTTTTTCTGTCAACGATGCGGGTGACGTGAATCGAATTAATAATTAATTACATTACAATAAATTATGGCAATAATAACATTAATATAGGCTTATACTTTATACGTATAAAATAATCAATATATATGTTCTAAAATGTATATATTCATGGAAATAGTATTATTATGGCAGCAGCTGTGTATCGACAAACCTAAAAAATAAAACGTAAAAAGGTTCGGAAGAATTATAAATATATATATCGTAATCGGTATTGTAGACGGCTCGAAATTGGGCAGATGCATTCATATATTCTTAGGTCAACGGTTAGGTGGACTAAGCGCGTTAGGCCTTGACCACGTCGGCTTCGTCACGTGGTGATACAGATCTTATAAATACAAATGATCGTAATAATAATAATAATCTACTGAGAATTATTTATATTTCGATGGATTATATTTGACAAAGATTAATTTGATTTTTAAACTATCTTCCTGCCTTGTTGTTCTTACTCGCTTAAATAAGATCTTTGGATGATTGTAAAACAATATCATGCATCGACAATTAGCTTTGCTAATTTTTTGTATACATTTAAGAAACATAAATCAAGTTGTAAAGGATTTTGTACTGTATCAAATGGAATCTTACGTAGATATTGAAAAAGTTTGGGCTAGATTTTGATAGTGATAATCTTTTCGCTTTCGGAAGGATTTTAATTGTTATTCAGTGTTTATATATTAATAATTTTTGCAATCATTTGAAAATATTTTTAATCAGTTTTGTTCAGGCTTTACGCTTATATTTTTAAGACTATTTAATATTTTTTGATAAGAATTTATGTAAATATTGTTGGTTGTACATTTTATTAATAAAATAGGATAAAAAAAATTTACTGACTTTATTAATTAAGAGACATTTCCAAATTAGTTAATTAAAATTTTTGCACTAAAAAAAAAATTAACTTGAGTTAAAAGAAAATTTCTTGAACCAAGAAAATATTTTGAAGAGTTCGATTGTCTTGAATCAAGACGAAAAATTCTTGAATTAAATAACATTTATTTAAGCCAAGAAAAATTTCTTATTTTAAAAAATTTTCTACTAAAATCAGAATTAAGTACTGCAAAATTATTTACTTGATTCAAGTAAATTTTTTTTTTTGTTGTTGACTATATTAATAGCTAATTCAAAAAGAATGAATTTTCTAATTTAAGTAAGGCTTTTGGTTCAAGGAAATATTTATGAAGATAGAAATTATTTAAGACAAAACGAAAATTTTTTTCTATTATTTATTTATTTATTTAAATTGATCATGGAGCTTTTGCTTCCTGTGACCACATATCAACAATTACAGTGTTTTATAATAGTTATTAATTATTAAAAAAAATATATATAACTCTGAATAGTTAACTATCCTTCGTATATATTTTTATGTTTCTATGGGATTATATACTTGTCCTTGGAATAGTACAGTGTTGGTAGTGGTGTGAACAATAGAATAAACAAAAGATCTATCAACAATGAAAGGCTTCGGTTCCACATATTCAACATTAAATCTCGCTGACAACTTTGCAGCTAGAATTGTAAAAAAATTTGTTTTTTTATTATTTTACAAAGTCAAATTTATGATTGATGGTAATAAAACCAAGCACTAAGCCTATTTAAATAATATTTGTAACATTAAAAAATATCTGTTTTGGTAATAAAAATTTGGAAATAAAAACAAAAATAAAAATTTGGAAATAAAAAGTATTTAAAAAGGTAGCATCTAAATTAGACATTGATATGTAAGCAAAATTTTGAATCAACGCAGATTAATGCTATTGGTGAATTCTATACAATTTTTAATTTTTATTTCGCGTATAAAAAAAAATATCAAATTTCAAATTCAGGTTATTGTTTTTTTTTCTAAAATTTTTTTAGAAAATAATTTTGTATCGAATTTTGTATCGGTAGTCCATAATATGAAATTCATAATGTATAAATTTTTTTTTCATAGGATATTCCTATTATTATCAAAAGTTGAGATATTTTGCCGTAATTTTTTAAGAAATGAACGTTTCAAATTCAAAAAATACGAAATGATTGTATGATAGGAATTAAAAAAAAAGACGAATTACCTGTTACTGCAGCAGCCTTACTTCCAAGTTCATCTACATTAATGTAAGCTTTTTGAATTATCTTACTAACATGAAGATTACTTTGACTATTGATTCCCGTAAAATTAGCTTCTTCTCCAAATATTTCAGACATCCCCATCTTTATAAAAAGTAGGAACAAACATGGATTATTTATCATCATACGTCACACATCTAGTCACTATATTATATCATTACGTCATAAAAAATGAATATAGGGACAAAAAACTCCATTTGTACCTTTGTTAAAGCAAGTTCCAAGTTTAGCATACTCTCAATTTTGAATTTTGGCAAATTCAGAAGAATTTTTCCAAATTGACCACGTAAGAGACCGAAATTAATGTTATCGAAAATACTTCCACCGTTTCGTAGGCCGTTTATATCATCGGGACGAATGATGTACATGCTTAGGGCGTCATTTTCAGTCGTGTTCTACAAAATAATGGCAATTTTATTCAACTCCGAGTAACGAAATATCAATACATTTTTAATTGTGAAAATTATAAATCCGATTTATAGGGTATAAAGTGATTACCTTGTAAGGAAGCTTGATAAAAGTCGCATTGAGGTTGGGAATTGTTCCCCAATAGAATTTTTTACGAGCGAACATCGTCGGAACATTCACATGTGTTTCCTCACTAGTGTAGAAAATTTTATTTTTTGTATTCTTTGGATTGAATGGGTGTCTCCATGAACTTTTGAGATGAATTGCGTTAACTAATACCATTTGTGCACCCTCAAGATCATCTGCATAAAAAATACAATTTAATTAAAAATTTTCTGACATTGCGATATACTTGGCCAATTTTCATAACTGGCTATAAAAGGCCTCATCTAGTCATGTATTGCTTAATAATTTATTTTTCATTTTTTCTACAAATGTTTTCGTCAATTAATGTGTCATGTAGGAAAAAATTGGTTGAGTAGAAAAAATTCTTAAACTAAAATTTTTCTTGGTTTAAATAAATTTTACTTGATTAAAAAATTTTTGGTCTTGATTCAAAACTATGAAATTTTTCAAAATTATTTTCTTGGTTCGAGAATTTAATTTAATTTTTTTTCTGTGTATGGGCACATGGGGACACATCGAAAATTCCTTTCGAACACATCAGACCATATCAGAAAATTTATTCAGATAAATGATAAACGACTCATCCAAACTCACCAGGCTCGATTATTTGAGTTATTTGATTATTAGTTTGATCTGCGCACCAATTATTTATTATGTCGGCAGCTTCTGCGGTGTTAGTAAGGTCAACGCGTTGAGCTTCTGATCTAAGAGAAGACTTTGTTATTTCTGTGAATTCAGGCCGCGGTTCGTTCAGCGTAAAAAGTTTGGTAGCTAGCTGCAACTCAGTTTTATTGACATTCTGGAACAAAGTCATAAGTTATTAATTATTTTTTTAATTCATAATTTTAATTTATGTAAGTTAATTAAAAAAAAATACTGCATACACTCAATGAGTCGATAAGTTGTTGATATCCTTGTATAGTAAAATTTTCATCTTTAGGCAATTTCAATGATGTTTCAAGTAGTTTTTTGGTAGTGCCTCTTGCTCCAAAATAAAGCATAGAGAGTATAAGATTGACACCAAGCGGTGAGCAAATAGAATTACTTGGTTCATCTCTTTTCGAAGCCTGGAAAATTTTTAACAAAACATTAAAGTCTTTTGTACTTTTTGTTATCAATTAAAGTAGCATTCTTACTTCGTAGAAGGTTTTGGAAAATTGATGGATACTATCAGAAATTGATAAGAGACTCAATCCATCTAAGTTGAAGATGCTAGCGATCTGGTCATCAAAATCGTCAGCAAACACGTGGGTTACAGCGAGGGCCAATACTACGGCACTGCATAGGAATTCTAGAATATAATTTTATTTTTAATTTCTCGCCATGAAAATCAATAATTTTCAAGAATTTGGAAGATATTTTTTTTCTTTTAATTTTTGAAAAGTGAATTTTGATCAGGTGTAAACGCAGTTTGTGACTAAAATAAAATTCAAGAAAAAGATTTTTGAAACAGTAATTGCACGCCTCAGAGCGCGAGGTTGTGCTTTATACTCGACTCGTCAAGGTCAAGCAATTTTGTGATCTTTAAATGCCTCTAACGCAACCACATTACACTTATTCAATAATATAAGTAGATGTACACCGAAAAAACACTTAAATTAAACCATCTTTTACTTTCTAAAATCATTTCATGTTGCTATTTTGAAAAAAAAAAACGTTTTGAAAAAAATTTTACGTGGACGTCCGAATGTCACCCCATTTTGGATGTACCAACGATTACTCCCGAACAAATTGATATTTCAAGACCGGACCTTTTTTATTAGTTTAAGAATTCGATGAACTGGGTCCGTATTTCATATCAGTGGCCTAGCTGACGTACTTTTTTTTTAAATTGAATTTTTATTAAAATTCACTATGATACAACCGTACAAAGCCAAACGAACTTTCTTATTTGTCACGTGAAAACTATGGCGCCACTTGATCAAGCTAGATTTTTTAAGATTGCGTGCGCATATGACAAGAAAAAACGGCGCCGATATTTAAAAAAAAAATAAAAAATACTTTGTAAGAAATTACTTCATTATAATTTTTTTTTTTTTTAATCAATTACACAGTTAATTTTTTTCTTAAAAAATGAATGAGCGTTATGAGGCGTGCACTTTTGGATTTTCCAAACTTTTTTTAAAGTACTTTACCGATCAATTCTTAAATTTAATTGAATCTTTTATTAAAAGAAAAAAAAATACCACAAACTGCATAATAATTGGTTAATTCGTTTGAGAAATATCATAAAGTTTAGACCTTAATATTGCGGGAAGTATCAGAGATGGTATGTAGGTTAATCGTTTCTCAGATTTTTTATTGATAATAAAATATAATTTAATATTGTTTAAAAGAATGTAGGTTCAAAGCGTTGAACGTAAAAAATGTAAATGTAACGTTTCATATCTATCGAAAGAATAATTTAAAAAAATAAATTTTTTTTAATAATAAACACAATTATTTATGATAATTTGATAATAAAAGTCAAAATTTATATTAGAGCGAGAAAATATATTAAATTTTATTTTTAAATTATTAAATAATTTTTTTAATTTGCTTTTAATCTACACAGACAAACAAAATTTAGTTCAATCAAGATAATAATCTAGAAGAATTTTATCTTCTTGATTTGAGTTGAAAAATTCTTAAACTAAGAAATTTTTCTTAGTTTAACTAAATTTTACTTGGTTCAAGAATTTTTCGTCTTGATTCAAGCTAATTTTTTTTCAGTACACGTATAGTTGCATAGAGCGATAATTACATAGAACTATACTGGTCTTCTAATTATCACAACGCGTATTTTGATCATGAAAAAACTCGCTTGATAATACTTTTCATACTATAATAGAAACAATACTTTTTTTTTCTGTATCTCTATCGTCTACTTTTTTTCTAACAATTTAAAGACTTGAACAAAAAATGCTTACGTGTATTTATAATAGCGATGATCATAATTGACGATATTATCGACGACTTGACTGTATAGAATAAACTCAATTTGTTGACTGCCTCATACGCTTGTAATTACTAATTATATTCAATGTAGATGGTCCCTGACGCCTCGGGCACTATCTTATTTTGTAGAGGTATTGTTATCATTTAGGCTTTCAGAAATACCTGTTAGCTCACCAAATTCCCTGTTAAAATTTTTTGATGGCTGTTGATCTATATATGCGGGAATTCCTATTTAATAAGATTATTTTTTTAACTTCCCGCTAAAAATCGGGCTTCACTAAACTTAGATTTCCTGAAAATTTGAACCGATTCGGACCGATAGATTTTGAGAAATTTAGAGAAATCTCAAAAAAAATAGGAAAAAAATTTTTTTCAGAAGTGGTTTTTTTGGAATAACTTTTAAACGGCTCTACCGATCAATTTCAAAAACTAATCAGCTCTCAACCTTAAAAAACCACGTCGATTGCCGCCAATCCGGTCAAAATCGGTTGATTCGTTCAAGAGATATCGTGAACGAAAAAAAACCGAAAAAAGTGTTTTTTCGGAATTACTCCGAAATTTCTAGTTTAACCAATTGAAACTTAAGAATTCTTTATGAGGCTTAAAAAACTGCGTAGAATGCCGCCAACCGCGTGAAAATCGGATCATTCATTCAAAAGTTATTGCGATTTGAAAATTAAAAAAATAGTGTTTTATCAAACTTCTATCAAACTTTTGAGCTCGAAGAGCTCAAAAGCATATAAAAGCTATTTTTTGAGCTCGGAGAGCTCAAAATAATACACAAATTGTACTTATGAGCTCGAAGAGCTCTAAAACTTTATAAGTGCAATTTCAAGCGTTTAGGTATAGAATTGGCGGGAAGTTGCAGGGATGGCCTTCAGGGTCAACCGTATTCCTAATTTTTTTGTTACTAATTGATATGTACACTTGTCATATTCTTTGAAAAATTGTTTTTTAGATTTATTTGTTATCTATCAATTTTTTTTTCCGTAAAAAATACAGTCATTAGAGGATCACTAAAAATTTAATCCACGTTATGTATTTACTCATGAGATTTTTACATAAATAAATATCATCTAAGTTTTTAAAAGGTAGTATTTTTTTTACATTATTTTATTAAATAGTGTACTTACTTAATTACGTATCGTATATATCATACTTCTGGCAACTAATCTTTAGTTTGCTATAGGACTGAGTGATAAAAAGGAAATTCCCGGTGATACGATACTTATTTTTTATAAATTTTAATTTAATTATTGTGAAAACCCAAAAAAATATTTATTTTAAGATTAAAAATTCCGTCATTTTTAATTTATCTGTTTAAAATTTATTTTATATCTTATATATATAATAAAAAAAAAAAAAAAAACTTCGATTATACTTTAATTCACTTCAATTGTAGGATATAAAAATTTATTTTATATCTTATATATATAAAAAAAAAAAAAAAACTTCGATCATACTTTAATTCACTTCAATTGTAGGATATGATGCAGTCCTTAATTTATTACAATTTTTGAAAATAAAATTTCATTTACATTATGGTCGATCATATAAAACTTATGGAAAGTCAAAAAAAATAATTAAAAACTATCTTACCGGCAAATTATGAGACCATACTATTTATTTTAAAATTACCGTCAATTTAATGATAATTTTTAAAGAAAAATCTCTTTGAGTGCATATTAAAGTAATGTAAAAATTTTGATGAAATATTACATCATTCTCAATTGAATAATTATTAACCTCGAGCTTATATTAAAAAAATAAAAATTTGATTTATTAAATAATGACTTTTGTTGAATTACATTGTACTTTTTTAACTATTGACGTTATTAAAGATACAAGCTCATCTTGATGTTACACTCATTAAGACCTTTCATTTGAGTACCCACATCAATTTTGCATATATTTATATGTATTATATATATGAATATATGAAAAATATATCAAAATGCATGTGGGTACTCAAATGAAAGGTCTTGATGAGTGTAACGTCGGGATGAGCTTATATCTTTAAAAATGTCAATAGTTTACAAGATACAAAGTCATTTCTTAAATATATAATATATATTTAAAGATATAAGCTCATCCTGATGTTACACTCATCAAGAGCTTTCATTTGAGTACCCACATGCATTTTTGATATATTTCTCATATATACATATATATAATATATATAAATATATGAAAAATTGATGTGGGTACTTAAATGAAAAGTCTTGATGAGTATAACATTGGGATGAGCTTATCTCTTAAAAAATGTCAATAGTTCACAAGATACAAGGTCATTTCTTAATTATGCAACTAGAGATAGAGCATTTTCGAATGCAGCCTAAATACTTATCATCATAAATTGACTATTGGTGAGAATGATATGCTATCAAGACTTTTCTAACGATACCAAATTTAATAACAAAAACCCATTTTATCATATAAATACACTGTCCACAAAATTTTGCTTATTCTCTTAATAATGAGTCAGAAAATTTTCGAAAAAAGTCATTATATTGAAGAAAATAATTGCTGAAAGTTTGAAATTTATGCACTGCGCGTCATAATCTCCGAGGTGAAGCTATCCAAATTTTATTTTATCAATTTTTAAATTAACAAACAATTTCTCATTAATATTATTTTATCAACACAATTTTTTTAAAGCAACACAAGAAAGTGCTTTCGAAAGAGTAGAGATTGCTGCATGCAGTCTTTGTAAAAAATTAAATAAGATAAAATATATCTAAATAAATAGTGTGTTTGCTGGAGTGTAAAAAGAGTATATGTAACATAATTTATATAATTTTAATGTTACATTCTGTAAAAATGTATTTATCGGTGTTAGATCTCTGGGCATTGTTCTGCAATAAACGAAAAGAAGATTGTAAGTTTAAATAGAATGTTAATATTAATGAAAAGAGTCTTAGTTAAAGAGTGAAGAGGAGTAACGAAATAAAGCGAGATACAGTACTCACTATAAGTAGGGGATTAAATAAATGAGTGTTACGTGCGTCGACCGCGTGTAAATCCTGTCCAAGTCGGTTTGAATCCTGTATGAGTTGAGTATACTGTTCTAGTGATATTGTATGCAGATATATATAGAGATATATTGGGAAAAGGTAAAGGATATCACTCG